GTAGTTTAACGCAGCGTTTCGGACCCGTCCAGAGCTACACAACCAGCCAGAGGGCATTAACACAGGGACACCTCACGCCAGGCACCACTGGTCAAGCTGATACCCTAAGGATATCAGTGTTTCCCTGCCTGCTGATCCTGGAAATGCTTGCACTGCCTATGAGCTGCACAGGTGCTCGAGCACCAGCAACACAGAGCTCTGGGGGTCCCAAGACAAGATCCCAGCGCCCACCAGAGCCATGTGCATTGCACCCACCCTCCCCTCTCACCGGCCAAAATGGGGCTCGCGCAATAAGGGGAGACACCTTTGCAGCAGGATGCGGCCCTGCAGCAAGGACACCAGGACACAGCGCAGGAGGGTGCAGCAGTAGAGCTTAAGTTTTTCCATGCCAATATACCAGGGCTGTCCACTCGCCCCCGTTTCTATACCCCGCCCAGCCACACCGCCCAGAGCTGCCCCCCACGCAGGGGCTGAGCTTCCTGCACTTACACCCAGCTACAGCCTTAACAGGCATTCGTGTACAGGATGCACAAGACCCGAGCACTTCAGCAGCCAGAAAGCAGGGCTGGGAGCATCCCACCCCCATTGCTTCTTCCTTGGGACCTTCTGGCATCTGCCAAGCCCACGCGTTGCCTGGCCAATACCCGCAGTCTGGGCACACACAGCTTTGCCAAATCCCAGCAGAGATTTTTTTTTTTCTGCTAAGAGCTTCACTAAGCAGCCTGTGAACTGACTTAACAAGTATGGCAGAAATATGCCACTGTTTCAGACGAGAACTTTTGTGGCACTTGGGAAGGTTATTTATAGCCTCGAGCAAGCAATCCCAGGCTAAATCACACTGCAGCTTTGCTCTGGGCTGAGCAGCCCTGACAGAGCACACCATACTCCAGAGCTGCCAGTACAAACAGACCCCAAATAAAGCTGCCAAGTCTCTCCCAGGCAGCTAAAGAGGTGCAGAGCTTCACACAACCTGTCTTCCAGCTTCCCAGCCCTCTGGGAAAGGGAAGCTCGCTGGGAAGGGAGCCTGAAGCAGAGGAGGGGAACTGAAGACCCCGACCAGAGGTGCCTGCAACTCAACGCACTTCAAACGCTTTTATGTATGGCCCCTACATACATAAAAATATACACAAGAGTGGAAACACACATGCATTTGCTGCTTAGTGTTCACCTGAGGCTATAATCCCTTTCCTGATAAAGTGATTACCTTTGCAGCAACCGGCAGGCATTGCAGGTGCCTTGGGAAGGTGGCGGCAGGTGAGCTGGAGGGGTTCATAGGAAGGGACATACTGGATCAGACTAAAGTCTCCTTCATGTCCCATCTCCAAACATAGACAGCAGCAGATGCTCGGTTCAACTTCAGTTTCCCACGCACAAAAGCAGAGAAAAGTACTGACAAACGTATGAGAGAACGCCTGGTTGCCAAGATCCCTTAAAGGGAAAAAAATACCCCACCACCACCCGAACCCAGAAACCCCACCTGTTGCCCAAAAGATCAGCAATCCTCCCAAGCCTCCAGTCCTGCATTTATCTGCAAACAGCTCTGATACCAGGAAAGCCGGGTCTCAGCACGTGTCTTGCCCCAGCCCATGGCAGTCCTGGACTGCAGGCGGTGGGTCTGCCTGAGGACCAAGGTTTGCTTGGACAGCCCCTTCTCCCCTCACCTGCAGATGGGACAGCAGGGGGGGTCCTTGCACCCACCTCCCCGCCTTACATTGGAAACCACATACATTAGGGCACTGCGAATGGATTAACGAGCCTCAGGACTGAAGGATTAACAGCTGTTCCCAAATAATGGGTATTTGGTAGGTGGGACCTTGCTCTGGATCACAGGATCTCCAGGGCAGGAGGAGAGCCCAGCGAGCTCCTGAGAGCAGCTCCAATGACGGGAGCCAGTAATGGCTTCCCTGTGCAAACCCAGCAGCACCCAGCACCCCTGCACTCAAACGGACGGGGGGTCCGGCAGTCCAACGACAGGCTCCACCACCCCATTTAATTCCCTCTACATGCTGATCTCTCTGGAGGCGTTGGAGTGGCCTGAGTCATGATTTCTGAATGTGCAGAATTGCTGGTGTTGCACAAGCTGGCCCTTGGGTTTTGTGCTGCAGCACCAAGGCTTTGGGAAGATAAGGAGTAAGCTCGCATCCCCCTCCTCCTCACCCCAATCGGAGAAGAGGTGCTGGGCGGAGAGGTGGAGGAGGACAGGAGTCTTTACTCTCTACATACCCATTTACTTAACCAGGAAACCATTGCACAAGTGGGAATTTATGCCTGCTCCCCTGTGCCATGCTGTAGATCCCAGCTCTTTCATCCGAATGCTTCAGCTAGCTCAAGAGGCCAGGCTTTTGATTTTATTCAACAATTCAGATCACAAGATGCAGAAGAAAGCGAATGCCCTGCCTTCCCTCGGAGCCAGCTCCCCCGATTCCCAGCAGCCTGGCCGAGGCGCCTCAGGGACACAGAGGAGTTTGATGCCAAGAGAGGTAGCCAATGAAAACAGATCCAAAAGTGTGAAATGTATTATTATTCCTAAAATGGAGTGGGATTTTCCAACTATTGGATTTCTCTCCAGAAAATGGATTAACATAATCCTTAGAGGACACTTTGCTCAGACTCGGTGTCCCTGTGCCAGAGCATATGGCTGCAAGAAGCTTCAGTGGGGACGAGCAACACAAGTCTCCTGATGGCATCGCATGTGACGGCACCACTTGCTTCAGAGCAAGTCCATCACTCTGTGCTTGAAAAGGGCCCAAATCCTGACTGCCTGTAGCCACCCACCCTGGGACACTGGGATTCCCTCGGGAGAGAAGCAAGGGGAACATCAGCATGGATGCCAGCAGCTACTGATGAACCAAAACATGCATTACATCCATTACATGTGCCATTTAAAGACAGTAGCAGATAGCGTAGGTCTGAGTGTAAAAATAAAATTAAAAATTAAAACAATAAATCAGCGCGTACCGACTCAGGCCCATGTTACCCCCCTGCGGTGAGCCCCAAGCAAGCTTGTCAGGAATCCTGGGCTGCTGGAGCAGAGACCACTGATCCAGCTGCTGTGGGCTGTAACATTGGGATCCTGCTGTCCACACTATCAGGAGGCTTTTAGGAGACAGGCACGCGAGTCCCGGCGCCCCAGCCGAGCATTTTTCTTCTTTAATCTTCCCCGAAAGTTCTGCTCTAAATCAAGAGTTCCTCATTTTTGTGACTCGCACTGGGTGCCTGGCCAAAACAAGAGCCACGCGGGTTTAAGTGCTCAGGATTCTTGGGGATAAAAGGAACTAAAGGAGTGTAAGCATTTAATTAGTCTCCAGCAATCTAATAAAAGGATGGAGTAATTGCCTAAGCCATCTGCATTCTGCATCTGGCATCAGGAGCTGCTGGAGAAACCCACAAATTCAGAAGCTGGATTTCGTACGGATTGTGCTTGGCATTAGCGCGCACCACAGGATACAAAATAAGAGAAAGAGGAGCTGACAAAGACTAATATGCACCACCCCATTAATGCAGCCAGACCGGCAGCATGGAAAAAGAGGTGAGCCATGAGCAGACCAAGGGGCAACTGAAGCCCTATCCCACTCCTCACCCCGGGCCACCCAAACCCGGCATGGAAGAGGCACAGCACTTATACCCAGGCACATGGGATTTAGAAAGGGGGATGCTTTGCAGCCTCCCCACAGGTGAGGGGTGAGCAGGTGCTGGCAGTAAAACAGCAATTGGCTCCAATAATCCAGGAGCAAAAGGCTGCAAAGCTGAATTTGCACAGTCTTCCCCAGGAAAGAGTTGCAAAGCAGGTTTAAGTTTGCTCCGTAAACAACTCCACTGCTGTTTTGCTCTCTGCAGCAGAGTGCCCGCCATCAGGCAGGCAACGGCCTCTGCAGAGGAACCCTCCCAGCCACGAGAAGAGCGGGAAATAACACAACTTCGGCACCCTCCAAGGAGCCGCAGCCTTGCCTCCGGGGCACTGCACAGGATTAGATGCCAAAGCTACGATTCTTCCCCTGCCAGCACCCGTGCTCCAAGGACAATGGTGTGCGACAGATGCCTCACTCCCTGTCGCTCAAAATCTGTTTTACACCAGTTTTTTTCCAAGTCAACCTCACTTGGAGTATCTCGTCAGCGTGACAACCGTATCCCGCAGGAACAGCAAAGGGGGCAAGATTTTATGTTTCCCCTTTTCAAATTTCATGGCCAGCTACTTCCCGGTGTACTGCCAGCCAGCACTACCTGCTCAGGGCTGGGCAACGCGGACGGGTAGCTTGGCTTTTTCCCAGCCTGCTGAGAAGGCGCAAGCACTCAGACTGTGGGAAGCCACAGCCTAAGTGAACTAAGAGACTGAGAGGTCCCAACAGAAAAAAAAAATAGCGCTTCCTGCCAAATCCACTAGCAAGAATGGTTTATATACGTAAGGAGAAATAGCAAGCTTTTATTTCGGGCGGCCCTGACCTCTTGCAATGCACCGCAAATGGCATGCAGTTCCTCCGTCCGCTCACACAATGAGTTTATCCCATTAGAGGAGCACCAGGGTACAAGGCATCCTGCAGGACACCAACCGTCCCCCATCACACCGGCACTCCAGCGTTACCCACAGCGCTGGAAACACAGAGCAAAGCCTGAGCCTTCCGCTCTTTCCCAGGAAAATGCGCACAGTCCCTGGCTCTCCTGGGCCAACGTCCCCAAACCACACCACACAGAGCCAAGGTGGGATGCAGGGCGAAGGAGGGAAAGCAACACGGTGACCCCACTCCAGCTTGACCCGTCTGTCCAGCTTCGACATCCTTACGGAATGGGTGAGAAGCCTCACCCAACACTTTGCAGCTGAGTTTGGGGGAGAGCAGGCAATGCCAACGGGAAGGGCTCCCGGGGAAAGTGGAGAAAACCCAAGGTTATGCGAAAAGAGAGCTGGAAAACGGGGAACCCCGGGAGGTCGGGGTGCAAGCGCTGGGCAGGGACCCCCGCGGAGCCCCCGCCGGTCCCCGCTGACCCCCTCCGCGCCCGCTGCCCACCTTGGCCTCGAAGCAGATGCCGTGCTGGAAGGCGGG